AAAAAAAAAGAAAACACACACACACACACACTCTCTCTCCCTCCGCGCGCCGGACAGCACAGCTCGCGGCCCCGCAGCCCGGCAGCACACGCGAGCTTCCCGGCGCAGCCCCGCGGTGACGGTGGACCTTACGGAGCCTCACTTTGCCGACATGGGAGACATGGGGGACCCGCCGAAAAGTAAGAGACGTTTTTTTGGGGGGTGGCAGCTGGGACGCCGTTCTGGTTCTGAATTCCTTTTCCAAAACTTAAGACTTTGCGCCGGAACGCGTACACACAGACGGGAAACATATTCTTTGTCGGCCTCTGAAACAAAGAATAGTCTTCCTACTGTTTTTTTTTGCCATCACGCTGTTTTTTTCCATGATAAAATAGCAAAGATAAAAGATAAAAAAAACACAGACCAGGAAAAATATTATTAATTGACAAAAACTCCTATTAATTATAATAAAGCCAATACTAATAATGGTAATAATTGCATGGCTGTTCCAACACATGCATCAGAATAATAATAATACGAATTAGTATTTGTATTATTATTATTATTAGTTAGATAATAACTAGATTAGTCAGAATACAGTGCCGAACACAGCCTGATGTGGCCTCTTCTTGCGGATTTTTTTTTTTCCAGAAAAGCGCCTGGTGTCTCTGTGCGTGGGCTGCGGGAACCAGATCCACGACCAGTACATCCTGCGGGTCTCCCCGGACCTGGAGTGGCACGCCGCGTGCCTCAAATGCGCCGAGTGCAGCCAGTACCTGGACGAGTCGTGCACGTGCTTCGTCAGGGACGGAAAGACTTATTGTAAACGGGACTACATCAGGTAGGACGGCCCGGACTGGACTTCCATCTCCCCCCACACCTCTCTCTCTCACGCGCGCGCGCGGCCGGAGCTGGAGCTTGCGCGGCCGTTGGGATTATTAGATTTTTATTCGTATTTTCCCCAAGATCCGTTTGAGATTGTTTCGGGCTGATTTCCGTCCCGTGGACTCCTGCTTTCAGTGGGTTATTATGGTCTTACTGGTTGTCTGTTGTCACCATTCAGATGAACGATGCACCGTGCGTGTGTTTTCTCATTTTAAGAGACAGAAAAGTGCACAAAAGGCCTTTAAAACACATCTCCCAGACACCAATTAATCACAATTTAGTGGGAGATTCTGTGCTTTGGCCTGTAGAAAATCACATATACATCCACCAGCTTCTTCCATCACAGTTTTATTTGTTATTAGATTATTTAAGTTTTTTTCTGAACGTATTTGGATGAATATTCTAAATGTCCATGACGTTATTCCATAAAAACACGGCAGCATAAATAATAAGAATAGAATTAATAATTACGAGAATAGTTTTAATTATGATTAACACTGTTTAAATGATGTTTTATGTTAAGAATGAGGTTTGTGACCGCGCTCCGGCCTGTCTGTGTGTGTGCGTGTGTGTGTGTGTCCCACGCAGGTTATACGGCATTAAATGCGCTAAATGCAATATCGGCTTCAGCAAGAACGACTTCGTGATGAGGGCGCGCTCCAAGGTCTACCACATCGAGTGTTTCCGGTGCGTGGCCTGCAGCCGGCAGCTCATCCCCGGGGACGAGTTCGCCCTGCGGGAGGACGGCCTCTTCTGCCGGGCCGACCACGACGTGGTGGAGCGGGCCAGCCTGGGCAGCGGAGACCCGCTCAGCCCGCTGCACCCGGCCCGCCCGCTGCAGATGGCAGGTACGGGGGCCGGGGAACCGGGGGCCGGGGACCGGGGGGCTGGGGGGGGACGTGGTCCGGAGAACCGGAGGACCGGAGGACCTGGGGTCTGAGGTCTGGGGTCCGGGGTCTGGGGCAGGGTTCCGGTGGCTGGGGTCCAGGGACCTGGGATCCTGGGCCGGGGGAAGTGCTCTAGTCCGGGTTTCGGGGGCCTTCTGCCCGACTTTTGCTTTTTTGTTTCCGACGCCGTTTTTGCGCATTTGGATCCAAAAACGGACCATGTCCCGCACACTGACATAAATCTTATTCTTGGCCTTTTCCCGTTTTTTTTTTTTGGTGGGGGGTGACTGTACTCTTTAATTGGAGTTATTTGGTCACCGGTGGAAGTTCTCCCGGTAACTTTACCCCGTTTGGGCTTTCCCCGTGCACTTGATTTTCTGTCTTTCTTTCTGTGTCAGCCCTTCAGAACCCGGTCAGGCCACAGATAAGATAAACCGGGAGCTGATGTCAGAAATACCCCCGGTTATCTCTGCCGTGGGGGGTGGGGGGGGGGTCAGTTGTTTGGTCAGTTGTTGTGCGTATTTGTGGTAACTTACAAAAAGCCACGACCCGGGCCTATAATGCTTTTAATTGGTCAATTCTGGGCCCAGTTTCGTGTCTGTTTAATTTCGGGGGCGTAGAGCTGACCCCTATAAGCCTGAATTCCATCCAGCTGACCAACGCAGGCCCTGGCCGTGCGTTGTCATCTTCCATAAGTTTCCTAAGTTTAAAAAAACGCGCAACCGTGCCGCCACAGACAGGCGTTTTTTGCGCCAACCAAAAAAAAAAAAAACTAGAAAAATACACGACTAAAAAAAAAAAAAGCGTCAGTCCACTCAGCGTTTTTCGACCACCTTTTTTTCTCCACAGCAGAACCAATCTCCGCGCGGCAGCCCGCGCTGCGGCCGCACGTGCACAAGCAGCCGGAGAAGACGACGCGCGTGCGCACGGTGCTGAACGAGAAGCAGCTGCACACGCTGCGGACCTGCTACAACGCCAACCCGCGGCCCGACGCGCTCATGAAGGAGCAGCTCGTGGAGATGACCGGCCTCAGCCCGCGGGTCATCCGCGTCTGGTTCCAGAACAAGCGCTGCAAGGACAAGAAGAGGAGCCTGCTCATGAAGCAGCTGCAGCAGCAGCAGCCCAACGACAAGACGGTGAGAGGCCCCACACGCACGCGCACGAGCACACGCGCGCACGAACCAGCTCCAGAAAAGAGCAAAGGCGCACCGAACCCGTGGAACCGAGAGAAGGCCCCGCGGACGCATGCGCCCCGGGGGCTTCTCTCCCACGCCAGGGTTGGGTTTAGGACCAGGGCCCATGGGGGGGGTCTACAGACAAGGGGGGGGGGGGGGGGGATTTGTATAGGATGAGTTCCACTTCCACACTTCCACTCGTGACCTGCACTGGACAATAGAGATGTAGAAGTGACCAAATTTAAGCCGAATCTGCCTCTGACAGCTAACAGAACACACACACATATAAACACACACACACACACACACACACAGGCACGTGCTGATGTTAACACACGTCCAGTGCATGCTGAACAACACTGTCCTGCCCCCCCCCCCCCCTCTCCTTCTGCAGAACATCCAGGGAATGACCGGGACCCCCATGGTGGCCGCCAGCCCGGAGCGGCACGACGGCGGCCTGCAGGCGAACCCGGTGGAGGTGCAGAGCTACCAGCCGCCCTGGAAGGTGCTCAGCGACTTCGCCCTGCAGAGCGACATCGACCAGCCGGCCTTCCAGCAACTGGTTGGTTGATTTTTTTAATCCCCAAGTCAGTTAAAACAACAACAACAAGTCAGCGACAGAAATTGGCGGTTTGGCGTCAAATTCTGATTCTGTGTCAAAACAAAAGCGTCAAATCTGAGCCTTGGCACGTTCCCATCTGAGCATTTAACTGTTGACAGAGTAAAAAAAAAAGAAAAGCTATTGTGATTTTTAATTTCTCTCATTTCTGTGGCTGGAGCATGGGAGTCACGTGGTATGCCGAGGCCGGCATTTAAGGATTAGATCCAGACGGTCCAACAATTAATCCATCTCCCCGTCCACGTGCAATATTATGAATCCATATAAAATTGAATTATCACATTTTTCTGGGTTGTTTTTTTTTTTTATAAAAACAAATGTGATAAAAAAGTTCCCTCTTAAATGAGGCTGGCGGTTGGTTCTGGTCCGGTTCTGGTCCGGTTCTGGTCCGGTTCTGGCCCCTGCGTCTGGTTTTAGCCCCCCCTCAGCTCCAGGACGGCCACCAGATGACTGACTTTCTACTTGCATGTGGAGCAAAAAAAGCTGTTTCTGCTCATTTAGAGCTGCATCCATCAGAGGGATGGCTTAATTGGATTCATATTGATCGGCCGGCCCCCGGTGGAGGGTCAGAACGGTCCACGGACCGGTTCCGGCTCCGGGGCTGGAGGCCGGCCATGAAACCAGGGTAGTCCTTGTTTGCACTTGTTTCCTATGCATTTATTACTTTTTTTTATAATTTCTGGTTCGTGTTTTGGGCATTTTTATGCATGATAAGGATTCTGACGCATGGATGCGTATTTGTTAAAAGACACTTTTGGATGAATTCATTTCTAAAAACGAAACGGTGAAGCTATAAGCTTGGACTCGGGGTGGAGAAGTGCTTTTGTATTTTGTTTCCCATAGCTCGAGGGGCACACTTCTCTTTAGATAATTGCTCCAGTCACCCCTCTGAATTTGCGCTCCCCGCTGACTGCCATCAGTCTTATAGAAAAACACCAAAGTGAGGTATCGCGATATTTTCTAATTACTGCGTTATTTTCCCGTCTCAGGTCAGTTTCTCGGAGGGAGGACCGGGCTCCAACTCGACGGGCAGCGAGGTAGCATCCATGTCGTCCCAGCTTCCCGACACGCCGAACAGCATGGTGTCCAGCCCCATCGAGGCTTAGGCGCGCGCGCGCGTGCGCGTGGACGCACCGGACGGAGAGAATTTAAAAAAAAAAAAAAGAAGCCCTGGCTGTCCCAGTTCCTCCCGACAAAAACAAACAAACAAACAAAAAAAAAAAAAACACCAAACAACCCCCTGGCCGGTTGTAATTTTTTTTTGACACTGTGAAGACAATCATGGGATTTACCACAGCCACCCATTCTGATGTCTATCCAGAGCGCGCGCGCGCGCGCGGGCGGACGCACGCACGCACGCACGGACGGACGGACGGACGCACGCGTCACCCTGACCAGTGATGCCCAAACTCAGCTGGGTTTTGCAGTTGCCAAAAAACAAAAAAAAAAAGAAGAAAAGACGTGAAACCCGCTTTTTATCAGAAACTGGGGACCTCTGAGGAGGAGGAAATCCGAAAATGGAGAAATCTGAATCCAGCTATTCTCAATAGAAAATATGGATAACGTTTTTTTTTTTTTTCCCCCCCGATTTTTTTAATTTATTTAATACACCCCACTCTTCATATAGCCTGATAGACATTTGGGAGGAGACTGTTTATTAATTAAGTTCCTTCATGACTTAAGTAATAAGGTATTTGCAACAAGGTATACCTCTATTTCTGCCACTGGCTTCGTGGAACATTTGTGAATTAGTGTCCGTCCAAGAATAGGCTATTTTTTCTTCCCCCAAAGACCTGTAATTTAATAAGTTAGTTGTGGAGGGAAATGTATGTTTGTTCCTGTGCAACAGATTTTATTTATTATTTATTGCCGATCAATTTGCCACCTTTTGTGTAACTTTCGTAAACTGAAGTAAAAAAGAAAGAAAACAATTCTGCTGGTTTTGGTCCGTGAATTCCCGTGCGCAATTCAGTTTTTCAGCTATGAAA